CAACAGAATCAGAATAAACAGCCTACAGAATGGGAGAAAATATTCTCAAACTATGTGTCCAACTAATGTCTAATATCCTAAATCTATAAAAAACCTAAACAATTGAACAAGAAAAAGTAAATAACCCCATTAAAAAGTGGAAAAGAGACATGAACAAACACTTCTCAAAAGAAGACATACCAATAACCAACAGACCTGAAAACGTGCTCCTCATCATTAATCATCAGAGAAATGAAAATCAACACGGCAATGAGACATCACCTCATACCAGTCAGAATGGCTGTTACTAAAAAAATCAAAAAATAGCAGATGCTGTCAAGGCTGCGGAGAAAAGGAAATGCTTATACACTGCTGGTAGAAATGTGAATAGTTCAGTCAGTGTGGAGAAAAGGAAATGCTTATACACCTGCTGGTAGGAATGTGAATAGTTCAGTCAGTGTGGAGAAAAGGAAATGCTTATACACTGCTGGTAGGAATGTGAATAGTTCAGTCAGTGTGGAGAAAAGGAAACGCTTATACACCTGCTGGTAGGAATGTGAATAGTTCAGTCAGTGTGGAGAGCAGTTTGGAGATTTCTCAAAGAACCAAAAACAGAATGACCATTTGACCCAGCAACTGGGGATATACCCAAAATGATACAACACATTCTACCAAAAAGACACATATATGTTTATTTCAGCACGATTCATGAAAGCAAAAACATGGAATCAAAGTGAATTAACACAGGAAGAGAAAACCAAATGTCATGTGTTCTTGCATAAGTGGGAGCTAAGCATTAAGTACTCATGGACATGAAGGTGGCAAAGACACTTGAGACTAGAGTTCGGCGGGGGGCGGGAAAGAGTTGAAAAACTGTTGGGCACTATGCTTAATACCTGGGTGATGGGAATTATTCATACCCAAAACCTCAGGATCACATAATATACCCATTTAACAAACCTGCATGTGTACCCTCTAAATCTAAAATAAAAGTTGAAAAATAAAAATAAATAATATTTCTGAGATTTAAAGCCTTGTTGTTAGCTGCTTGAATTTTTTGAGGACACAAACATACATGGAAGTTGTTGACAGGCAAACATCTTGTTTGCCACTTTGTTTCTCTAGCAAAGATTGTTAGAAAAACAATTATATATAGAGGTGATTGCTCTTGTGAAATGCAAATAAAACAGGTCAAGGCCAGACCCAGGTGATGTTCCAAGGTAAGTGTATATTGCACCTTCCCATGTTCTCCTCTCTCATTTATCAATGCCCTTTGCTGTCCCCCAGCCCAGGGCAGCCAGGAGCATCCTAGAGCTCTAAAGTAATCCCTAATTATTCCAACCCCTTCTTTTCTTTCTTCTCCAATTCATCTATCTTGCTTTCTAAACACCAAGTCAAGGATTATTTCAAAAGTAACATGAAGGTCCAAGTCTATATGACATAATTTGATGAAAATATGTTTCCAAATATGGACGTGTCATAATAAAGAGCTCTATTAGGGCTCTATTCTATTCATTTGTGTAGGTGTTACAGGACTACCAGGTGCACATCACTACTGCACAGTAACAGACCAATACACAGGGACATCTGGGTTTGCAGCAGAGAAAGAGTTTAATGATTACAGGGCAGCTGAGAAAATGGGAGCCTTAAGTCCATCTTCCCAGGAGTTCTGGGTTGGGTTTTTAAGGAGATCACAAAGGGTGAGGGGCTGGAAAATTAGAGTTATTTATTGGTCAAGGTAAGGGGGGACAAAATCATGAGGCTATGGAAACTGTCCTCTTTGCTGTCAGCTCTTTGTGGGGTCCTTTTCCAGCAGATGCAGGTAGTCTACAACTGTTCAGGACCTGAAAGAATATCTTAAAGGGAAAACTTAACATTTCACAATATTCAAGTGGTTATCTATAGAGTAGTTAAGGGGAACTATAATCTTATAATAGGGTCTATGTGATTCTGGGGCAATGGGCAGCAAACAAGTGTGAGGAAGGGATCAGAGAGCAGCTTCCCTCATGATGACTGCTGATGTGCCACAAGCCTGGCTTATTTTTGTTTCTTTCCCTCCCTTATTCCATGATTAATTTTATAAAGTCTAGAGGGACAGTTTTATAGATCTACCAGACCAGAAGGATCCGTCACTAAAAATTCATTACCTCTGAGGTAGTAACAACAGCTAAAATCATCATTAGCACCTAGAGAGCAATTCTCACTGAGCAAGGCCACAGATACCCATGTAAAGAGAAGATCAGCACTGAAGCTAATCTCTGAGATAACGTCATCAATCTACTGTGCAAATGCGTGCACGGTGCATGGTAGGGAATCAGCAGACAGTGACTGGAATTGTGGGTTGACAACACAAAGTGGAAAGTGCTGAACTCAGGTTTCACCTCATTCTAAGCTTTCTATGAGGCTTTGTTCCCAGGGCACTGTTAGAGAGCCAGAAAGTCAATCTCATAAACAAATACACCTTAATATGTTAATAAAGAATTTCCAAAATCACTCCTCCAATATGACACACACACACACACACACACACACACACCTGGATCTACTTCTTTTTCAACTTGGCCACATGTCCTAAAGTCAAGTGCCTACTAGGTCCTGGCAAGTGACATGGATGTCCAGGCCAGTTGGAGGCAGGTGAGGACTGTACCTTCTCAAGGAGCAACACCGCCCAGCTGCCATGTGTAATGTGGACCTGATGTACTGTATACACTGACTTTTTTAAGTTGAGAAAGATATATCAGCTTAATGTAAAATTAATAAACAAGCAATTCAGCTCTGCATCAGCCAATATAGTGTTAATCTTTGTCCAGATTGGACCACAGGTTGCCAAAATGATGGCCTGTGAAGTAGAACATGATGCTCTGAAGTGTATTAGGTCTTGATCTTTAGCGCTTCGCTTAGTATCTCATGAGTAGTAAGAGCTGGGTCCATGGAGAAGCTACATATACACACAGTGCTAACCATCCCCAGGTAAGTCCAATGCTTAGAAACATCCCTGAGGCCCTGGGAAATGACTATCTGCAGCTGTTCTGTTTTCCTCTAAGAAGAAAATCTATTTTCATAGCTGCTTCCCTTTACCACAATACATCAAAAATAATAAAGAAGACATAAAAATCATTCAAGGCAATATTATGGAAGACCGTGAAGGAAAACCTTTTCTTAACATAACAAACCCTTGATATTTTACGTCAGGTTTCACTAGAAACACAAAACCAGCTAAGACATGTCTAGACGGTGCCAAGTCCTCCTTCTACTTGTTTTTCTGACCACAAACGATACTTTGGGTGTTTTTATGCATAAACTCTTGTCCATGTTAATGTTTGCAGTGCTCTGTGTTCATAAAGTTGCTGCCCAGGAAATTGTCAGAAATAAAAATTTGAAAGTTTCCTGAAGAGACTGAAGAATCGCTTGATTTTATGAACTTGTTCTTTGTTGGCAGAGTAAAATAACACTTAAAATATCATTCAACTTACTCTACCAAAGTGCAGTAGAGATTTAAGGAAGTTACATTTAATTCAGACAAAAAGGAGAGCTTAACACAAATGAGTCAAAACCTGATGCTCTATTTGGCTCAAATTCATTATCTACTATTAGGTTTTTTTTTTTATTCAGACAGCCTAAGTTTAATCTCCTTACTTTCAACTAATGTTGGTTCTATCAGTTAAAAAAAAAAAAAAAAAGAAGAGGAAGAGAGAAAACAACCAAAAATACCTCTGCCTTGCCGGTCGCTGCCTCACATTGCCTGGATCTAGGGTATACACCATACAATGAGCCTCGGGAACTCCATGAAGCCCTTGAAAGTGTGTGTAAGATACTCTCTGTGTCTTTTTCTTTCTGGGAATGGAGTTTAGACATTTTATTAAATTGTCAAAGAGACTAAGAAAAGATTAATAATTATGGAGATAAAGTATCTCCCAGTTCTCCTACAACACTGAAATTTCTGTGGTTATTTCAGAAATTCACATAAAGTGAATATAATCATGAAAATAAGTAAAAATTGTGTAAATACCTTATTAAAATAATTAGTCAACTTAAAAATAAAAAGTGACTGGCTGGGATGTATTAATCCTGTATCCTCTGAGATTGTTTAGTATTGTTACAAAATGCAAAACCAACCCTCAATATACAAAGATTTAACAAATCAATTATAAATGAACTACTAAACAGAAAAAAATTAAGCAAACGACACCCCCTTTCTAAGCACCAAGTTGGTGTGATATATAAAAACATAAATAGATCTATTAATGTGCTATATCTAGTTATCTGTTGCTATACAACAAACCACCCCTAAACCAAGCGGCTCAATACAATCAATAATTGTTTATTATAATGTATCATGAGTCTGTGAATAGACTCATGATAGGCTAGAGGTTGGTGGAAACCATTTGGGCTTACATGTCTGCAGGATGGCTGGGCACTCTACACTTGGCTGAGAATGGCGAGGACAACGTAGCCTAGGTAGTTCAGCTCCATGCTCCTCCTCAGACCAGTGGGCAAATACAGGTATTTCATGCTCATGGTGATGGCAGGTGAGCCAGAGAAAGCAAAAACTATGAAGGCCTCTTAAGGTCTAAGTTGGGATAGCCTCACCACCACCTCTGCCTACTGCTGCCCAATGCAAGTCATGTGGCTGAGGGTTGAAGAAATACACCCTGCATCTTGAATGCAAAGAACTGAAAAGTCATGGGGAAAAAGCATAAATACAGAGTTCTCTATACTGAGACTATTCAGTAAGTTTATCACATGGGCCAAACTTCTGAAGAGTCCAAATAGGAAGCAGGTTTATTTTTCTCCTGGTATTGCCTTAAAATATGTTCTACTGAATCTTGTCGAGTCTGACTGGCAGACTCTGTCTGAACGATAGATGACAAAGAATGCAGACACAGATGTTTTTCCTGTGCAAGCATGGGGGCTCACAGCTCACAGACCGTAGAGAGACTGGAATCGGCCATGCAGCCCTGCTAAGTTGGAGAGGCTCTGCATTTATTTGGCAAAGATTTAATGACAAAGATCTCAGGTAAACACCATTAGTGGGTAATTAACATTGCCAACCCCCCGAGTAGAAAGTAGTTGTGTGCACGGATGATCCAAGGTTGGTCTGAGTAAACAAGGTATTCAGATAAACTCCTCTACATTCCCTTATTATTTGCTCTTTGCTATTAGCTCAAGGTAGGAGGATTTGGCTGCCTTCGACCATAATTCCCTCCAGAGGCTTTTGCAAAACCTCTGGCCTTCTGGGAAGGTTTGCATCTCCCTATAATTTTTCCCACTACCCTGACCAATATCCTACCTCTCCCCTTTTCTGTTTTTTGCATCAGGTTTTGTCGACTGCAGAGCACAGATGTATGCAGCAACAGCTTTCTCAGGTGCAGCAATTATAAGTCATGTTCCAACTTTGCATCCTAGAATTAGTAAATAACAAGACAAACATGACTAGAATCAGTAACATTCTTTTCCAATCAAGCAGTGACTCCACGGAGTGGAGGTCTATCCGGGAGAGATATTCTCACAAATCCTTCCATATGGCTGTTTGTTGGGCATGTAGATATATGACATTTATGGATTCTAGAATTTTAGTTTTTTTTTTTTTTTTTTGAGATGGAGTTTCGCTCTTGTTACCCAGGCTGGAGTGCAATGGCGTGATCTCGGCTCACCACAACCTCCGCCTCCTGGGTTCAGGCAATTCTCCTGCCTCAGCCTCCTGAGTATCTGGGATTACAGGCACGCGCCACCGTGCCCAGCTAATTTTTTGTATTTTTAGTAGAGACGGGGTTTCACCATGTTGACCAGGATGGTCTCGATCTCTTGACCTCGTGATCCACCCACCTCGGCCTCCCAAAGTGCTGGGATTACAGGCTTGAGCCACCGCGCCCGGCCCTAGAATTTTAGTTTTAAGGTGCCTTACATCTGCTTACAGATTATCATGAAACATTCCCCAGGGGTGTTGCTTCACCTCAACCCAACTATGTATAGATTGATTCCAAGGTAGAGAGGTGACACAGATATGCTTATGTTCCCAGCCACAGTCTACTTGCTGCCAGAATGCCAGTGCCTCTTGTTGCTCCCCCACATATTCCAAGGCAACCTCGAGGGCTTGCAGGCATGCACCAATCTTTTCATTTATACCCTGTTGTCAGAGAAGTTCATTACAAGTTATCTACAAAGGTAGCTGTTTGTATACTGATTCAGTAATAGATGCTAGAGCCACAGTAAAAGTTGCTAGGACAACTACAGCTGAGACTATAAAGGCTCTAAGTGTAACTGTGAATCGTTTGTGTCTGACCTGGAAAGGGCATGTTATAAGGTGGTAAGAGCAGAGGAACCTTGTCAATCACATGTCAAATTTACTGGTAGGAATGCCTCAGATTGTCTTCTTAATAACACGGTATTAGCAATATGTAAATAAGATATTCAGTAATTAGAGATGCATTACGTGAGCCAAACATGGAGTTTTGGGGTGTCATGGAAATATCGGTCCCTATAAGGAAAACACACGGATGAGTACTGCAAATCTGGTACTGATCTGTCTGATTATGAATAAAAGTCATGGTACAATTGTTACTGGAATTATAGTACGTCCCATGTCTGGTGTTAAGGGAGGTGCTAAGATGTCCTGGGTTCCATAAAGTGTCTTGAGGTGGCATGGACTCTATCTGGGGTCTGGCATATCCCATCCCGCCATGGCCCAAATTATAGGGGAACAGGACATGGCTGTGAAACTGTTATTGATGGCATCATGGACACAGACATCACTACAATTACCCTGCAAATGACTGTGGGGGCTCCAGTGTAAGATGTTATAATTGCCTAACTGTAAGCTACAGGCTTGTCCCCCATGACAGACCCCCCCAACCAGAGTGGAATCCATTACCTTCCCAGCTTGGTTCTTCAGCGCAGGGAGGAACGTTGGGGAAAGTGGCATTGGAGGCATCGCCTGGTTTGAGGCTACCAGCAACCAAGAATGTTAAGGCATTTCCTCTGCCATGATGTCGCCATACCTGTGTTTGGGTAGGTACACAGTAAGGGTTAGAACTTTTATAATTAACACACAGTGGGAGGATAGTGGAGTGATATGTAGTGTTACCTGGCACCTTAGTCAAATGTGTGCCATTAATGAGGGACCCCACTGGGGGTAAGTCAATCCCTCCTAGCCAAGCAGTCACGTTATTAGAGGCTGGGAAGGGGTGTCTGCCTGGGGTAACAGGATGAAAGGAGGGCGGACCTAAGAGATGGACCCAATAGAGTATAGCAGACACAGGTTGCAGATAAAGCAAGAGTATAAAAAGAATCGATACCCTACACAAGTCACAATGTGCAACAGAGAGCCTAGCTAGGAGCAAATTATGTTGAGTGAATGGTGTCGTGTCTGGAGCAGGATTTGCTCAGCCTCGAATGAAGACAGAGTTGTTTTTCCTGTGCACGCATGGGGGCTCACAGCTCACAGACCATAAAGAGACTGGAATCAGCCATGCAGCTCTGCTAAGTTGGAGAGGCTCTGCATTTATTTAGTAAATAAATAAATGCAGTTTTTTTATGCTTTTTAAAATGCCCAGTTGCCTTTTTCAGCATCCCCAGGTATTTTCTGGGCTTGAAGCTGCATAGTTCAGGGCTGCAGGTCCTGCAGGGTCCTTTTCTTCATCTCTGGGACTGGGTTGGGTCCCAGCTATACCATAGTTGGTTTGATGCATCATGCTGGAATCCAAAGGGGACCTGAGTGGGTATGAACACAAGCATATCCTCTTCCCCATGTTAGCAATTCATTTGGACCACACTGTTCATTACTATTTATATCTTTTCATAAAACTGTATGTTTTATGTTTTGAGAGGTTTTAGCAAAGGGCTTTTTTATAGCTGATTGAAATTCATCATCTAAATTTAAGAAATCAAGGATAAAGTAAGGCTTGTGCTAGTAGTGTTGCAGGGTCCTTAACTATACTCCCCCTTTTCCGTTTTCTGAGCATGGGATTTTCTCCCTTTTCATTTTAGGAGATGCCATAGCCAATATTTTGGCTCTGTGGTCTCAGTCCCTCCCAGTCGACATGCTTGTGTAAATTCCCCCACAGTAGCTGCCTTTCCTCTGATTGCCGGCCTGTATTGCTTGCTGGCAATTCACGTTAGCGTTTTCACAAGCCAATTGCAACAATAAAATATCAGCAGCCTGGGCATAACTAATTTGTCTCTTAATTGCCTTGGTCAACTGATTAATACATTCAACAAAATGACTCCTGAGACCCTTGTCAAACATGTATAAAAGATTCCTGTTGAACTCTGCTTTCTGGGACTCAGTCCCAAGCCCTGAGAGCACACAAAGACACTTGTGCATGGGCTTCGGGAACAAAATTTAATTGTTGCTATACATTGGCAAAGGGACCCCTCCCCTGGGGCATGGCAGCTGTTATTGGTTGCCTGGCCACTTGATTCTGGTTGCCTTGTTGTTTGCACAACTCATCATATTCTGCCTTCCAGAGGAGGTATTGGCTGGGTTCCAAAGTTGTTTTAGGTTGTCCTGACCAGTCCCACGGAGTCATGCAGAAGTTGTCTGCTACTCCCTGACCAGTCCCACGGAGTCACACAGAAGTTGTCTGCTACGCCCTGACCAGTCCCACGGAGTCACACAGAAGTTGTCTGCTACGCCCCGACCAGTCCCACGGAGTCACACAGAAGTTGTCTGCTACGCCCTGACCAGTCCCACGGAGTCACACAGAAGTTGTCTGCTACTCACTGACCAGTCCCACGGAGTCACACAGAAGTTGTCTGCTACGCCCTGACCAGTCCCACGGAGTCACACAGAAGTTGTCCGCTACGCCCTGACCAGTCCCACGGAGTCACACAGAAGTTGTCTGCTACTCCCTGACCAGTCCCACGGAGTCACACAGAAGTTGTCCGCTACGCCCTGACCAGTCCCACGGAGTCACACAGAAGTTGTCCGCTACGCCCTGACCAGTCCCACGGAGTCACACAGAAGTTGTCCGCTACGCCCTGACCAGTCCCACGGAGTCACACAGAAGTTGTCCGCTACGCCCTGACCAGTCCCACGGAGTCACACAGAAGTTGTCTGCTACGCCCTTACCAGTCCCACGGAGTCACACAGAAGTTGTCTGCTACGCCCTGACCAGTCCCACGGAGTCACACAGAAGTTGTCTGCTACGCCCTGACCAGTCCCACGGAGTCACACAGAAGTTGTCTGCTACGCCCTGACCAGTCCCACGGAGTCACACAGAAGTTGTCTGCTACGCCCTGACCAGTCCCACGGAGTCACACAGAAGTTGTCTGCTATGGCCTCAATTAATGCTTTCATAAATGGGCTAGTGGCTCTTTTCTAACATTTTTTTCTTATCCCTTTATAAGCGTCAAAATAAATGGGTTCATGTACTGGATTGTCATGTCAATCTTGCGTTACCAGGCAGGCCAAGAGCTCCCCTTCTAAGGCTGCTCACCCAAGACCGGTTCCCACCCTTCTAACGCTGGTCACCCAAGACCGGTTCCCACCCTTCTAACGCTGCTCACCCAAGACCGGTTCCCACCCTTCTAACGCTGCTCACCCAAGACCGGTTCCCACCCTTCTAACGCTGCTCACCCAAGACCGGTTCCCACCCTTCTAACGCTGCTCACCCAAGACCGGTTCCCACCCTTCTAATGCTGCTCACCCAAGACTGGTTCCCACCCTTCTAACACTGCTCACCCAAGACCGGTTCCCACCCTTCTAATGCTGCTCACCTACGACAGGTTTCCATAGCTGTAGCATATCCCTTGTCTTTTTTTTTCCAATTGACTGGGGAAGGTGTCTCAGGCAAAGTCTCTGTTTCCTCTTTGGTATTTTTACCTGGTACTTGCTCAGCTGAAGGAGAGGGAGGAGGTGATAAGGTAGGTGACACTTCCTCTTCCCTTCCCTCTCAGGGTCTTCTGTAACTAAGGCCCATCATGTTATCTGTTGCCCTTGTGCATGATGTTGGTTAAGATTTCTCCCCACTTATTCCCAGAGCTCTACATCTAGCGTACCTTCTGCTGGGAACCATGGGTTACGGAAAACAACAGTTCGCATTAGATCCCTCAATTGACCCTGCAAAACTGAGGCTCCACTAGCTTTAAGTAGCCGTTTCAATACTTCCAAGTACTGTTTCTGTTGTCCTTATAGCTGTTGTCCCATGATGAAACCCTAGCCTGAACAATTTCCTCGAACTTGGAAATCCCAGGCAGGTACCAATGACCTACTGACTTACTTATTGTCTGTTCACTGTATTTCCTAGGGTTCCATCGTGATCCATGATCCCTTGCAGTGTCCTCACACAGGAGCACCAACTGTCAAGTCTGACCAGCAGATTCTGTCTGAACGACGGATGACAGGAGTACGCAGACACAGACGTTGTCCTGTGTGAGCACAGCCAGGGGCTCATGGCTCACAGACCCCAAAGAGACTGGAGTCTGGCCGTGCAGCCCCAGAGAGGCTCTGCATTTGTTTAGTACAGATTCAATGACAAAGGTCTCAAGTAAACACATTAGTGGATAATTAACGTTGCCAACTCCCCACTCCGCCCCCAAGTAAAGAGCAGTTGTGCATATGAATGATCAAAGGTCGGTCTTAGTAAACAAGCTATTTAGATAAACTTCTCTACATTCCCTTGCTATTTGCTTTTTGCTATTAGCTCAAGATAAGAGGATTAGGGTGCCTTTAGATCTATACACATCTAAACATACATGTCTCCTGAGGCTTTTGCAAAACCTCTGGCATTCCAAGAAAGTTTGTGTCTTTCTATAATTTTTCCTACCACCCTGACCGATCTCCTGCAGAATATCCCTCCTCCTACTGCTTGACCATACCTTGAATTTTAGCTCATTTGCATTGAAACAGTCTCATTTGAGTAATGACTCCTCACTTTCAGGCAAGAGTATGTTCAGGCCAACCATTTCTAACATCCAGTTCACAGCTTCTATTTTACTAGGATTCTTTGCTCATAGACTTGTAGAGGGGACAAGGGTGACGGTTCATATCTCCCCTTCAAGGAAGACATGCCCCCCAGCTGCAAGGAGTGGACAACAGACATATCCTGCTGTCAGCCCCTTCAGGGTGGCCTCAGCTGTGGAGAGCCCCCACTCAAGCCCACCCCCTGCCTGAGCAGCAGCAGCCATGCCTGCGGTGGGGGCATAAAGGCCTAGCCAGTTGGCCCCAACCCAGACAATGCTGGTGGGCAGTTCTTGCTGCAGAGCTCCTGCTGGGGTGCCTGAGGCTGTGTAGGACCTGCCTCACTGTCTACCTGACCCTGCTTCCTCCCTCTTCCTTTCACAAGTGTCAATCCTAATATTTTGCACCCCAAATTCCAAACTCCACCTCAGCACCTGCTTTCAGAAAATTCAGCCTGTGGCAGATTTGTTCTGTAATTATTTCCCCTCTTATCCTGCTGACTTCTCCAGGGGATGTGCCAGGGTATGGAGACCAGGGGTAAGGGTGGAAAGGTCGTGTCACCAGCACTGTTGTAATTCAAATGTGCTATATCAATCTCTCTATCTTTTTAGCTATGTATACACACCTACACAAACATGTCTATATCTGCCCATCTATATTCATATATATGTATAGATATATTTCCACACATATGCACACATACATATCTATAGCTATCCATACATATCTGAACATATGTTGTATCACTACATTAATGGTAAGGGAAGGAAGATCATATCACTACTGCCATTATAATCCAGATGTGTGGAAGACATCTAGCTATTTCAAGCTGTCTCTCTATATCTAGCTATCTATGCACAGATATGTAAATGAACCTGTAACTATCCATACATATCTACACATATGTATCTATATCCATACAAATCTGAACATAACTATATACCTGTATCTATACATATCTACATATACATATGTATCTACATGTATCTATATATACATGTCAAAAGAAAACTGTTTTTCTACTCAACAACACTTCTAACACTCATGTGTGAGTTTTTTCCACAGCACGCAATTCTCCAATTCTCTGTGGATGTCAACCGAGTGTCCTAAAATTTAATTCCATTTGGACACCATCTGTAGTCACTTCATTAGCATAATGTGGCATCAGCTCCCACTAATGAAAGACTCAGACCCACAAGACTGCCACTTTCCACACCAACTGCAGACCTGGGCCTCCCACACTACCAACCACCTATAAATTGGGGGTTCCCAGCATCCCTTTCTCAGGATTGGTAATTTGCTAGAATGGCTCACGGAACTCGGGAAAACAGTTTACTTTCTACTGCTGGCTTATTAGAAAGGACGCTACTGCCTGGGCGCGGTGGCTCACGACTGTAATTCCAGCACTTTGGCAGGCCAAGGAGAGAGGATCACCTGAAGTCAGCAATTCAAGACCAGCCTGCCCAACATGGTGAAACTGCATTTCTACTAAAAATGCAAACATTAGCCTGATGTAGTGGCGCGCACCTGTAATCCCAGTTACTTGGGAGGCTGAGGCAGGAGAATCACTTGAATCCAGGAGGCAGCAGGGGTTGCAGGGAGCTGAGACCATTCCACTGCACTTTAACCTGGGTGACAGAGTGAGACTTTGTCTCAAAAAAAAAAAAAAAAGAAACAGAAAGAAAGAAAAGGAACAGCCAGATGGAAGGTATGTGTGGTTCAAAGCATGGGGAAGGAGCCCAGAGCTTCCAAGCCCTCTCTGGCCATTGTCCCAGTGCTTCACCATGTTCACCAAACTGGAAACTCTCCAATCCCCATTGCTTAGGGTTCTTACGGAAGCTCCATTACAATGGCATGATTGATAAGATCACTGGCCATTGGCCATTGAACTCAATCTTCAGTTCCTCAGGAGGTCATGACTGGGGCTGGAGATTTCCATTCTCTAATCACATGGCTGCTTCCTCTGGCAGCTGGCCCATCCTGAAGCTGCATAGGGCCTAGCAAGGGTCATCTCATTAGCATAACCTCAGGAAGAATTAAAAAGGGATTGTTCTGAATAACAAAAGCTGTTTCTCTCACCCCTACCACTCAGAAAATTCCATAAGGTTTAGAAACTCTGTGCCGTGAACTGGGAATAAAGAGCAAATATAGATATTTCTTGTTCTGTATCTGTATCTATGTATCATCATCTCCCAGCTGTTCACTTGCCTATCCTGACTGGCAATCATCAACCCTGAGACAATTGTACAGGGTTGCAATAATCAACCTATCCTTTCTAGAGGCTGGATATTAGACCTTTGTCAGCTGCATAGTTTCCAAGTGTTTTCTCCCACTATTTTGTTGTGATTGCTTTTGGTGTCTTTGTCCAGAAATCTTTGCCTGTTCTTATGTCCAGAACAGTATTGCCTAGGATGTCTTCCAGGGTGCCTATATTTCGGGTTTAACATTTAAGTCTTTAATCCATCTTGAGTTGATTATTTTTATGTGGCGTATGGAAGGAGTCCAGTTTCAATCTTCTGCATGTGGATAGTTATTCCAGCACCATTTCCTGAATGGGGAGTCTTTTCCCCGTTGCCTGTTGTCATTGGCTTTGTCAAAGATCAGATGGTCATAGGTGTGCAGCCTTACTTCTGGGCTTTCTATTCTATTCCGTTGGCCTACGTGCCTGTTTTTGTACCAGGGGTATGCAGTCTTGGCTACCATAGCCCTGCAGTGTGTTTTAGAGTCAGAGAGTGTGATGTTTCCAGCTTTATTCTTTTTGCTTAGGATTGCCTTGGCTATTCAGGCTCTTTTTGGTCCCATATTAATTTTTTTTTCTCTCTTTTATTTTTTTATTTTTATTTTTTTAAAAATTTTTTATTGGATTATAGGTTTTGGGGTACATGAGCAGAGCATGCAAGACAGTTGCGCCAAAAGCCTTGGCAACAAAAGCCAAAATAGAAAAATGGGACCTAATCAAACTCCACAGCTTCTGCACGGCAAAAGAAACAGTCACTAGAGTGGATTGGCAACCAACAGAATGGGAAAAAATTTTCGCAGTCTACCCATATTAATTTTAAAAGAGTTTTTTTCTAATTCTGTAAAGAATGTCACTGGTGGTTTGAGAGGAATAGCACTGAATCCGGAAATTGCTTTGGGCAGTATGGCCATTTAAATGATACTGGTTATTCTTCTCCATGCACATGGAGTGTTTTTCCACTTGTCTGTGTCATCTCTGATTCCTTTCAGCAGTGTTATGTAATTCTCGCTGTAGAGATCTTTCACATCCTGGTCTGCTGTATTCCTAGGTATTTTATTCTTTTTGCGGCTATCACGAATGGCACTGCCTTCCTGATTTGGCTGTTGGCTTGGCTGTTGCTGGTATGTAGGAATGCTAGTGATTTCTGCACATTGATGTTGTATCCTGCAGCTTTGCTGAAGTTGTTTATCAGCTGGAGGAGGCTTTCAGCCAAGACTATGGGCTTTTTCTTGACATAGAATCGTGTCATCTGCAGACAGGGATAGTTTGATTTCCTCTCTTCCTATTTGGATTCTCTTCCTTTCTTTCTCATGCATGATTGCCCTGGTCAGCATCTCTAATACTATGTTGAATAGGGGTAGTGAGAGAGGGTATCCTTGTTTTCTGCTGGTTTTTTAAGGGAACGCTCCCAGCTTTTGCCCATTCAGTAGGATGTTGCCTGTGGGTTTGTCATAGATGGCTCTTATTATTTACCATAGTATGTTCCTTCAGTCTCTAGTTTATTGAGAGTTTTTAACATGGAGCAATGTTGAATTTTATCAAAAGCCTTTTATGCATCTATCCAGATAATCATGTGGTTTTGTCTTTATTTCTCTTTATATAATGAATCACATTATTGATGTGTATATGTTTAACAAACCTTACATCTCAGGGATGAAGCCTACTCGATTGTCGTGGATTAGCTTTTCGATGTGCTGCTGGGTTCGGTCGGCACGTATTTTATTGAAGATTTTTGCATTAATGTTCGTCAAGGATATTGGCCTGAAGTTCCATTTTGTTGTTGTTGTATCTCTGCCAGGTTTTGGTATCAGGAT